GTTACTTATGTATAAAGGCAACTTTTCCGCACTACCCTCAAAGCATTATAAAAAATTTTCATTTTTCGAGCCCCCCTAGTACTCATATTAAATGTAATAGTAATAATTTCCTAGTAACTTTTGGTGTATAAAAAGATTCTACAATTGAAATATTCAGAAGTTAATTAATATTAATGATTATATGACCAAAAAAACCCACAATAAAAAACTATTTTATGAGAATTAAATCAATGCTATTTTTAGATTGATATGCAGTCAGGATATATTATAATTACTATTTATCGTAAATTTTTCAGAAAAACTCAATATTTTTTTTGCATTTTTATGGTAATAGATAATTTAAATAGAAGTAATAGTAATAATTTCCTTGTAACTTTTGGTGTATAAAAAGATTCTACAATTGAAATATTCAGAAGTTAATTAATATTAATGATTTACTTTAATTAAAAGAATCAATCAAAACAAAGTTGTTAAAAAGATTTACTCAATTGAGCGTATTATAAAATTTGATTATTGTGATGATGTCACGTTTTCATAATCGTGAGAATTATTTTAATAAAATACAGACAGTACATCCACTGCCTGAGACTGAAGAATTAACAAATAATATTTATTGCCAAATCGGCAATAGTTCTAATTATTATAAAAACTCAATAGACCTGACCATCGTGGTCAGTCGATTCCAGTGCCTAGTGTCATTCATCTGTCTCAGTAATCGGTTGTCGCTGTCCGGCTTACTGTTTAAATTAAAGTCTTTGCTTATTCCTTTTTAAACCTATATACTCTTTTTCTCGACATTTCAGAGTACTTGTGTCTTGCACTTCGTCTGCACCTCGTACTTCATTATCATCTCCCACCCAAAGTATTTGTGTCTTGCACTTCGTCTACGTGAATACTGTTATAATACATACACCACTCATTATTCAGTAGTATATATGTTATTACCTATTAATCATCAAATTAAAAATATTATTCATGTTAATACTTTAAACTATTCCAAGAAATATGTCTAAAAATACATTGATATAAATCTACTGTAATAATTATAAGAAATTCTTTAGTTGTGACAAATTATCTATTTTAAGTAAAATAATATGTAATAAATAACACAAATTGAGTAATAAATAGATAATAGTAAAAGGTCGTGACACTTCTTGCATAGATAGATGAATTAAATTTAATATAAAAGGGCATAAAAAACTGTCAATCTCTCTCACTACTACTTCACCTTATGAACTTTTAACGAATGCAAGAAGTGGCTTGACAAAATACGATTTTACATAGAAAATTGAAGTATATTCATTTTTTTCAACATTAGTCCTGAAATCATTAAGGTAAATTCATATTCAAAGTAAATATAATGAGTACATAAATTAAGAAGGAAACCAGAAAAAGTAAAGTGATCTCTAGAATAAAATATTGTCTAAATAAATAAAGAGAATCAATAACGTTTGTACGAAGTTAGCCAGCCTAGTCTAATCTTTGAGTGGGTTACCTGTGTAGTCAATACTAATAAAGACTCTCTTGCGAAGATAGAGAACCCACTTGTGGTTTCTATACTACTCAAAGTTTTTATTGACTCTACTCACAGTCAGCACAAGCCTAGATAACTACTGGTACGAGTGTCGTTGTTGATGATCTATGTGTGATAATTAATCACAATAATTTTCTATTTAAAATTATTTTTATATTAATAAATTTTCAAACATCACTTTGTTTTTCTATATTTTACATCTTCTCATATACCCTCGTACTCATATCCCGAGAGAAAATTATATTATATCATTTTCTTTATTAAATAAATATTATAGTAACTCAATTATTCTCATGCTCATATAATACCAACAAATATAAATAATTTTTAATAAATTATCCTTTAATTACTAATAAAAATCTTCATAGTAAATTTCTCTTTTTATTTTGAGTTACTATAATACCTAGACAGCCGGCACCACATCCTCCTACTCTTTTTTACTCGTTTCATTTTACTGTGTTACGACATTATAATTGTAAAAATCCATTGTTAATTCAGGAGAAACTAACAATCATTTTTTTTAGAAATGATTTATATAGCACATTTTACCAAATAATTTGTAATATTATAGTCTAACAGTAGCACACACAAATAGAGTAAAAAAATTATTAAATTACAAAGTAAAATGATTTAATTTTGTAGTTGAAACCTATAATATCAAACNATTACAAAGTAAAATGATTTAATTTTGTAGTTGAAACCTATCATATCAAACTTCATTCGTTAATAAATATTTTGAAAACTTTTGATTTTAATGATTTTAATTGTCTTTATGGAGAACATGTATTAACTAACTGTTTAATTGATAAATTAGAATTTTTTTTTCAATTTTTGAGAGTAATATCTTCAACTAGATACGAATTGTAGTAATTTGACGTATTGTTGAAAAAAGTAGGTNTATTTGACGTATCGTTGATAAAAGTAGGTAAAATTAGAGAAGAGAAAATAAATGATAGTCACAAAGAAATATCTTCTCAGCTTTGCATCGAAGCTAAAACTTAAAATATAGTAAAATAATTTTAATACAAATAAGAAATTTCTTCTTGCAAGGGGCGACTAAAGTGATGGGATCCTTGATCTTTANGGCAACTTAAGTGATGGGATCCTCGATCTTTATTGAAGTTATTGAATCTAAATGAGATATAAAACAAACGAGTTAAAAATTTATACTAACTTAAAAAGAATTAAGAAAAAATGCAAAAAATTCATTTACATACGCAGGGTATGCACCCCAAGCTTGTAAAACACAAGTTCTTCCAACTCAGCAACCGTACGTCGCTACCCTCATCTGAAAAAATTAGCTATTTAAGCTAGTTCAAATTTCAAAGTTATTTTTCTCGACTTAAAAGAAGCAAACAAATTTAAATAAATTTAACTTTCTATGGTATATTAATTTTTTATTTATATAATATTTATTATAATCTGTATCCCCTTTTCAGGTATTTTAAAATAAAACAAAATACAAAACCCAGAATTTTAACACAAAAATAGCAAATTTTTGAATACGGTAGTCATTTTTACAATGAAGACAAATCCAGAGGTCAAATTTTTTTTTTCAAATTAAAGTATATTACATAAGCTTTAATTTAAGATATATATAAAAGTGTCAGT